GCAGCTTGAAGCCAACACAGGCAAGGAAGGTTAAAAACAAAAACAAAATGCCAACAGTAGAGCAGTAGGTCAAGTGGTGGAGCAGTGAGCAGGCCCTGAGCTCAAGTCTCAGGACTGGCACAACAAACCAACCAAAAAACTTGGTTTAAAGGAACAGACCCTCTGCCACATCACTATTTCCTATATTTACAACTCCTCCTGAGAACACAAGTTCAGAAAGTCTGGGATATTTAAAGACAGTCTTCCTAAAAGAAACTTACACAGATGAGAGAAGCCAATATATTTTTTTGATTAACTAGAATAATCTAGATTTTCCCCCCCAGCTTTTCTATGCTGTTCTAGACTTTACATGGAACAACCAGATAACTATAAGAGGTCATTATTATTATTCTCAATATATTGAGACTCAGAGATGCTACATACTAGCTGGAAGTATACTCCAAGAATTAAATGGTTTTATTACTTAATCTGCCTTTCTCTAGAACTTTCATTACGTTTACTGCCTTAAAGGGAAAGTAAATAACTAAAGGGCAGCCTCTACCAGGTAATAAGGTGTAGCAGTTAAGAGCAAGGACTCTGTAGTTGGATCTTGTCTCTACTTCTTACTAGCTGTGTAATCTTGGGTAAATTATTTAGCCTTTCTGTTGTGTCTTGGTTGTCTTAACTACATGTTTGCCTTGCTACTACAGTATTATCCCAATGAGGTAGTTCTGAGGATTAAACCAGTTAATAGATGTATAGGGCTTTGTAACTGTGTCTGTTTCACAGTTCAGTGTTATTTAATTATTAACTATTACAAAAAGAATGGGGATTCGAAATATATGATGAATTAAAAAAATCTGTGAAGCAAACTGCAAGGTAAAAGCCACACTACATTTTGTTGAGTAAGAAGATCATGGAAAATGTAAGCAGCACTGGTGTCAATCTGCCTATATATTAAGAAATCATTTCTAAAAACAGAAGGAAATGAAAGAGATGCTACCAAAGGCTACCAGACAAACATATTTGAGAAGAAATGTTTCAACTACACTTGGCTGAAGACAATGATCCTATAATAATATTCTAGGAAGCCATGTGGATTTTATTTGAATTACCAGAAGTTCAGTAGCATCTCTCAGTCCAATGAAAGGAAAACCAAAATTCATTAAAGACAACTCAATTCCCCTTTAGGCCTGAGCAGAGTCCTGTGAAAGAGGTAGGTCTCTAAGATGACTAACTTATTTTCCACTGCACTGGGCAAGATCTTGATGCCTGATGAGAAGTCTAACTTTCCCAGCATTGAAATCTAGGAGGAAATGCTGTAGAGGGAAAATAACATGCTAAATTTGTTATATCCAAGCCATTAACTGTGTTATATACAATCCAAACACTTTCTTCAAGAAAGTGACAAGAAAAATAGGGTTTTCCTGCTTATCCAGGATTCCTCCTTCTTTTTCAAGTTGCCAAGCTTTATTGTTACTTTCTGGAATCAAAATTCTCCTCTCCAGTCTTGAGGTGGTCAGGTAGAGAATCTCCCTGAGCTAAAGGGGTGGGGTTTATGATGCAAGCCTGGCTGCTTCACCACGATTGGCTCAAAACTGGAACACATGACTCAATTTGGCCCAATGACAGTCTGGTAAGTGCTTTTTCCTTGAAGTACTGGGAAACAGATGTACTATGGGATTAAGTGGGCCAAATAAACCTGTCCTCTCCAGTTCCATTTGAGAAAGGTCCAACATGACAGCCACACAGAAACTGGTGACAGACAACATTTCAACATAGTCCAGCTACCTTGTGCAAGCCAGGCTGGAAGCTGTCATTATTATTGGACTTCCTAGTTTACAAGAGCCAATTATCCCATACCTTGCTTGTTTATTTTGTTCGTAGGTGAATTAATGTTAGGTTTGTAGAACTTACAAATAAAAACGCTTCTCAATAATACAAATCCATAAAATTGGTACTAGGAAATAACCAAGCAGTTGACACTAGGCCTTCCAATTCCTCTGAATAAACAGGAACTGAGAACCATACCATGTGCAAAACTACAGTGAATAATAGACAGTGGTTTCCAATACCAGAGCCAGACTCGTGACCACAGTCAGAAAACAAATGGCCTTTTCCTTCGTTCTTAGGAATCAAGTCTGTTTTTAATTTTTTTCTTTATATGAAACGTGGATTGAAATGATGCTCTCCCTTCTCTCTGCATATACATACAAATCTCTCTCTCTCTGCTCATGTGATCTAGGAGCCTATGATTTAAAGATCAGACTGACATTGATCAAGATGCATTGTACTCAAAAACTGACACACTGAATTGAAACCTTTCTGTACAACTACTTAAAGATAAATTTAAAAAATAAGATTCTCAGGCTAGAAACATTTTGAATACTAATCCTTTTTTTTTGGGGGGGGGGAGGTGTTACAAGAGTTTAAACTCAGGGCCATGTGCTTGCTGGGCAGATGCTCTGCCCATGAACCCTCTTTGGCAGTGGCCATTTTGAGTGGGGGTGGGGGGGTGTCTCTCTTCCTAACCAGGAAGTATACCAAAACCACAATATGCCCATTTGACATCTTCTATTGTAGATGGGAGGATAGGTCCACACAATCATGCCCAGGTTACCCCCTTGAGAAGGAATCTTATAAACCACTCTACCTGGGCTGGCCCGCAACTATGATCCCCTCAATCTCAGCCTCCCACATAAGCTGGGATGGCAGGCACACACTACCATGCCCAGCTATTGGCTGAGGTCTTCTGGGTATGCCTGGACTGACCTCAAACCACAATCTTCCTGATTTCAGCCCTCCCCCCATAGCTAGGATTATAGCCATGAACCAATATATCCAACTTAAGGTTTTTATTGTTTTTTGGTGTGTGTGTGTGTGTGTGTGTGTGTGTGTGTGTGTGTGTGTGTGCGCGCGCGCGCGCGCGTGTGTGTGTGTGTGTGTTTAAATTGGTCAAACTGGAAACTTGGAATTTCTGTTTCTGACTCCATAGGTAAAACCCCTCACTAGGAGTACAGACAATGACTTTTCAAAATGAGCATTTACAAATATTTGTCAGCTCTTCTACAGATGAGGGAAATTGGCCAGCCATTGATCTACACTGGTACATGAGGGGAATGTGGAGTTTAGCAGTGGTTTCGGCGCAGTTCTTTTTATTAGCATATTACTACCATCAGACAAACGCCAGGAAGACAACAGGACACTTTCCATAAGGAGGGACTTCCAAAGGTGCACAGGAGAGAGAGCATTGCTGATCTGAACACTAATAATTGTAAAGGATCATTACTTCATTTTAAATAAAGCAACACGATTCTTGATTGCTAATATTTAGCAGCACGTTGAGGTTATTTCTTTTAAAATATTTCCTACTTAAGTTTTACATAATACTCTTGAAATAAAATATTCAATCCAGGAAGCTATGAAGTAAGTCCACAGATGTGTATTTATCATTAAGATTCATCTATCTATCTATCCATCTATCTATCTATCTACATATATATTTTTTTAAAGAAAAGGTTAGACAAAACTGCTTGAAGGTAATCCTAGCTATATCTCTAAGGGTGGCTTTAGTGCAATTTTTGTGTCCTGGTCTATAAAGATCGTGATCAGCCCGGCACCAGTGGCTCACACTTGTAATCCTAGCTACTCAGGGGGCTGAGATTGGAGGACTGCAGTTCAAAGCCAGCCTAGGCAAGAAAGTCCATGAGACTCTTTTCTCCAATAAACCACCAGAAAACCAGAAGTGGTGCTGTGGCTCAAGTGGGAGAGTGCTAGTCTTGAGCTGAAAAGCTCAGGGATAGCACCCAGGACCAGAGTTCAAGCCGTATGACTGACCAGAAAAACAAAAGATTGTGAGATTATTCTAACCCCATAAAGACAATACACAAAGCAGGCCTTCACATAAATCAGCCTACCCCTGTTTCCATGGGACTGAAGGAGAATAGCTTTGCACAAAAAAGAACCCGAAGCACCAACTTCATAACCATCAGGTGTTCAAAGGTACAGACCCCCTCAAGGGTGCACCTGCTTCCTTATTACAAGTTGTATGCTTAGTAATAAAAAAGCATTATATTCAGTTCCTGCACCAACAGTTCAATGACATTCTATTTATATGATGTCTACTCAGGAAGCCAAGATCTGAGGGCCAAGGTTTGAAGCTAGCCAAGATTGAAAAGTCTGAGTGACTCTAATCTGCAATTAATCAGCAAAAAGCCAAAATTGGAGCTGTTGGCTCAAGGGCTTAAAAAATGGAGAAAAAGCTAAGGCTGAACATAATAAAGCTCTGAGTCAAAAAAAAAACCCCCCACACACAAGAAATGCAAGGCATGTTAACCTAAAGTTTTAGACACGGGTAGAGTAACATGGGCAAGGAGCACATGAGTAGTAGAAACTTGCTTCAACTCTAAGAAGATGGAGGGCTTAGGAGAGGCTGCAACTGAATTAGAGATTCCAATGGAGCAACCCAAACTTGGCTCATCCTCACCTGTAGACATTAAACTTACTGCCCGTCCCCTTATAAGGAGAATAAGCCAAGCAAAAGTCAACATGAGCAAAGCATCAAGTTGGTGCCATTTCCTCAGCATCCCTTTCTTAGGCTTATAAAACCATTTGTATAATGTCAAAGCAAGAGCCCAATTGCCAAGCTGCTGCTGATTAACCTTACAAAGTTAGAATTCATGTGTATATCATTGTTTGAATACACACCAATAGGAACCAACATTTAATATACACCAAGTGAAAACTACATCAGTACAAGTTTAATACTGGATTAACTTACTCTATAAACCACTGTCATTTTGGGAAAATGAATAAATACATGCTGTTACTAAAAAGGATCTAAGTCTCCCTTTAAGACGCAACTCTCAAAGAGGTTTTGTAACTGTTCTTATAGTGTCTTAAAAGGCCATTCTCAAAATGGCGGTGTGGAAGTCCACACCAGAGAGGCACTAGATGAGTGAAAAACATGAACAGTGGGTGGGAGGCGATGGCAATTTCAAAGACCAAAATGGAATCCTTACTTTAGGAATGATGGGAAATCTTCACACACAGCTTCACAGCCTGGCCACTTGCACACCCCGTGTCCGTAGAGGGGATGGCTATGGGGGTGCTCCTCATGGGGCAAACTGAAAAAAAAAAGCACACAGGATACAAGAGAATCAGTGGAATGCCAAGAACCACAGCACAGGACAGAGTGTCCACCCCACAGGAGCCCACAGGACCCACAAGGGCCCTCCACCTGTCCTTTCCCATGGGATCCACTAATTGATTCAGCAATTTTTTTAAACACTAGAGTTAAACTATATATGTTAAAATATGGTGTTCTAAATATGTTTAGGTACAATTATCTAATGTTAGAAACCTACCTCTGCATATGAATCATGTTTGACAGGTTTATGTCTAGGCAAAGCTCTCTACCTAGCAGCAGAGTACTCTTCCAGAGGCTACAACTTAGCCAGGCACCAGTGGCTTGTGCCTGTAATCCTAGCTACCCAGGAGGCTGAGATGTGAGGATCATGGTTCAAAGCCAGCCCAGGCAGGAAAGACCATGAGACTCTGTGAGACTCTTACCTCCAATTAACCACTCAAAAACCAGATGGGGCACTGTGGCTCAAAATGGTAGGCAGCTAGCCTTAAGCAAAAGAGCTCAGGGACAGCGCCCCACCCTGAGTTCAAACCCTGCAACCAACAAAACAGACAAACAAACAAAAAAACAAAAAACTACAACTTACCCCTTGGTACAAGTCCTTAACAATGATTTTTTAAGTTCAAATAAGTTAAAAAATAAATTAAGAAAAAAAGAAGCTACAAGTTAACAAGCCCCAATAATAAAATGATAAAAATTTGCACTTGAATGATCTCTTACGTTTTTCTACCCAGAATATTTTACATTTTTCCCTCTTTTCCTCCGCCAATAATTATTTTTTCATATGTTAATTTTATTTGGCATAGTACAATTAAATAATTCAAGATAATAATAGAAGAATTTAGTAAGACAAATATAGCCAAGTAAATGACTAGCTTTTTAAAACAAAAACAAGCCAACAGTGGCAGGAAGCTTAGTCTACTGAAATTACTGATAGCAAGAGTAAGAGGAAACACAGCATGGACACCAAGGGGTTAATTCTCCAGTGGGGTTCCAATCAATACGTAATGATTTGGCCACGCGGATCCAAGTCACGAGATGCTTTGATCCGCGCCATGTGGCGCTGGGGGAAGAAGATCTGTTGCACTCGATGATGAACCATATTCTCAAATATTTTCTCTTAGGTTTCTGTATCCAGACTTCTTTCAGGCAAATTATTTTTACAGTTGTTTCCATAACCTCAGATTCCATCAAACAGAAATGCAAAACTAACACTGAGAGTTCTGCGCAGTAATCATGCAATATTCCCTTCACGCGAAGATCTATTTTGCAAGTTTACTGTGATGCCGCTGCCTGACTTTGAACTTCAAGTACACTACATTATGATCACAACACACACACACACACACATACACACACACACACACACTTCCAGGCCTGTATTTTATAATACCATCGGGATGCTTATTCATGTATTTTATTGATTCATTCTTAGGCCATATGTACACAAATGCTACTTGTCCCTGACTTAACATAATTAATCCACAGTGAGACTATTAGGCCCACTTAAACTAAGGAGCATTAAGGGTAAACATATACACACAGAACTATATCTTATCAAGGACAATTATGTCCCCTCTGGCTTTTGAATGGTTTTGCTGGAACTCTGATATAATTTAAAAATAATGATGAGTTATTTAGCTCTAAAACAGAAAATAAATATGAGAACCAAAGGCAAAATATAATAAAACAGAAAAATAAATATTTATAGAAGTCGTAGAAAGTGTTGTTCTTGCAAGAAAATAATAAAACCAGGGAACTGAAGTAGCAATAAAGCCCAATAGTAGAAAGGGAATTCTCTAAGCAGTTAAGAGGGTAAAATTCCACTGGGCCCAAGTGTTACTACCTACTCACATTAAGGCATGAAGAGTTATATCATCCTTTTACATAATTTTGTAAGGAAACTCTCATGTTATCAACTACCCTTCACAAATTTTATTTTGTGATGGGTAACAGTCCATCAGCTTGGCTTTAGTTATGTGTCAAAATATATTTAGCCAGTCCTTTATTTTGGACACTGAAATTCCTCTTTATGTTTCTTCTGTCTGTGAGTAATGTTTGAAATAGTATTTACCAAGCTCAATAGCCCAGTGCATACCCACTGATTTCTACCAGAAGATGTGCTCAAGAGAAATGGCATCACCCAATCAATATGAAGATTCAAATTCACCCTGAATATTCTATCAGGTTGTTCTTGAGAAATGTTCTATGTAAAGTGCATTGTGAGCTACTGGAGATATTTTGTGCAATTCTCCACTTTAGAAACAAAGATTCCTCAACTACCTGAGATACAGAATTAGTATCATTAATATCACTAGTTAAGAACTGCAGATGATATTACAATATGTTCTCGTTAACTCAAGCATGTTCTGAAGATGTAAATATTACACAAAAAATAATACAAATGATAATGAGGCTTTTTTTCCCTTTTCTTTTTGTTCTGTTTGTCTGTATGTCTTTGGAAACGTAAGGGGAGGCATGGAAGTGGAGAGATAAAGGGTGAACACATGCAGCAATGGTACTTGTTAGCCACGACGTTGAAAATTAACTATAAAACTTGTGAGTGGGGATGGATGGGAAAAACTGGGAGACAGCGAGAAGGGGTGACATGTTCAAAAGGAAATGTACTCTCTACCTGACTTATATAATTGTAACCCCTCTGTACATCTCCTATAGAATAACAAAAAACATTTTAAAATTAGGAGAAGATCATTTAAAAAATAATATACATTCACTAGAGGAATGTGTGGTTTTATATATATATATATACATTTGTAATCCCACTTCTGTTTATTAGTTAATTTGTGAACAATTTAGACCTAAATAAAAACTACACTCCACCAAGAATTTAGTACTTCTGTTGGTCAACTTGGTATCATTACCTCAAAGGATGAATAGATGATTAGGGTTTTAGAAAGACAACCAGATATATCTAAAATCCAAACTAACTAAAGCACCTCACATATAAATACATTTTTATAGATGGTGCTTGGGATTGAACCCAGAACCCTGTGCATGTTGGGCCAAGGATGTACCACTTGAGCTAGGTTTCTAGCTCATGAATACACCATTACACATTCAGAAGATTCCTCAGGAGACTTGTCTCCTGGTGTGCTTTTGTTTTCCAGTGTGTGCATGAGGCTGGTGGGCAGGCCGGAGGAAGAGCAGTCCTGCTCCTGCCTTGCCTGAGACATTGCTGCTATGGGTCTGGTGCTGATTGCTTTACATTCCTCTTCTGATCCATTGATTTGCTCACAGATTGAAAGGAATAATACAGTACTACTGTCGCTCGCTTTTCATACTTGCTCTGTAACTCCATACACTTACATATGTAATGGGGGTGGGGAAGGCGGGGGGAGTCGGTCAAGCAAATAGACTGGAATTTGCAAGGAAGAAGAGAATAGCATTGCACTCTGAGAAGACACCTCATGGCTCACTACTGAGGAGGGAACTGACTGTCAAGGTAACTAAATTTTCATCCTATTACTTTTTCCTTCTTGGTGTTTTAATCTGAATCCATTTAGAATGCCATGTACAGGATGGAAGATGGAGGGCAAAGGATGCTCTGAGCATCAGACGATAAGAGAGAGCCAAGGACCTCATCTCTTAAATGACACGCTAAGTCACATGATATGCAGCAACACCCTAAGTCACATGATATGCAAAGTGTTGCCTAGGTCAGAGAGGAATAGAGATGCGCTTGGCTTTTAAAGGTTAAATTTAACCGTATTTGCCACAAAGGGAAACTAAAAAAATATCAGATTGTTTGTTTACTATTCTTTTTTTATACTATATACTCTCAGGTTGAATATTCATACAGGCAGGGGACACTTCCTATTCATTTCTGTATACTTTGTACTTTACACCGTGTCAAGATTCAATAAATGTGAGGTTGAGCTTTCAACAAACAGGCAAACATACTGTTTGCTTTTTGGTGATAATGGGATTTGGAACTCAGGGTCTCATGCTCACTTGGCTTACTGGTTCAACTGGCAGTTTACCACCTGAGTCACACCTCTAGCCTGGCTTTCTGCTGGCTACTTGAGCTTTGAACTGTGCTTTTTTGGATCTCAGCATACTGAGTAGGTAGGATTATAGGTGTGAGCCTCTAGGGCCTGGTCATATTCTTCTTTTGAATTTCTGTGTGGATATACACTCAATGCTTGTCTTTTCTTTTTCTAAGAAACATTCTTTAAAGTCCTTAATTATGCAAACCACAGGAAAAAATATCATAAGACATTTGCTATTATTTAATTTAATCTGGAATATATGGAAACACAGATGCATTTGAGAAAAGCCAGTTGATTTCAATTTCCCGATAATCCTTGAAATGTAAAACTAGATATAACTTTAACATCAGAATAGTGATAGCATTTCAGATTGGAAAGGACTCACTTGCCAAGGAAAATAGAATCACACATAAATATGTAGCAACAGTTCCTGACATTACATGACACTAATCGATACAGTATACATTTCGTACAGTGTGGCGATGACATTTTCAGTGACACTTTTTAGAGGGTCTCTTCACTTTGTCTGTTCTTTCTGCATAGAAGTACACCCATCGGTCTTCACTCTAACTAACCATGACCTTGTGGCTGAGGTTATGCTAATGTTTTGATGACATCACTGATACCTTCCCATGTTTCCAAATACCTGACTGAAACTTCCAACTAGAATTGAATATAAAGACTAAATTAAAGGACTTCTCAAGTTTCCAATCTGCTCCCTCAGGTGTCATTTACACGACTAGTAGTTCCATAAGCTAACTTCTATTTACGACAGGAAGAATCTTTGAAGACAGTGAAGGGAGATCTTACTGTATTTCAAAACATTTGTAGCCAACTGGTCCCCAAGTGCCTTCATTGAAGACAAGTTGTTCTCAGTTCTGCACTGACCTATGTATTCATGTCTTTTAAGTCTCCCCTAAGTTGTCTTTTCTTTATTCTAAATTTTCCTGGTTTTTCTCTTTTAAATTTG